ACAAACTAGCATCAGAGTGCTGTTTTTTTTGATATCAAAAAAAGGGGGGGGGGGGGGGAGAAGAACTTAATTCCAAGGGCAATTTGTACACTGAGGTTCTCTAGGAGCTGACAGATTACATTAATTAAGTAAAAAAATTTTGCTGGCGGATGATAGTGTGAATTATTTAGGGAAAATGAATCAGCTTCGGAAACAATTTATTCTGGTAACAGACTTCAGAATTTTAGCAGGCTCAGAATTGGAGGAGCAATCCCCATTAGAGGAAGAAAATCCCTGTACTGGGATAAATCTTCTTATAAGGACTTTATTTTTAGACTACTTGTACTCTGGGAAGAGAGCCAAGCCAAAGTTATGAAAATCTTTGTATTTTGGGATTCTTTAATGAAATCATTCTAAGTGCTGAAACTCTTGAAGAGGAATATTATTTCAAATTCAGGTGTTACCTGTACCTTATTAGGAAAACACAATCAAACTAGTTTAAGCTTGGCTGCCTAAGGTTAAGTAAGTCAATATTTAGGCAGCTTTGCAAAATTAAAAAATAATAATCATACCCAGGCTCTTCTCCTACTCCCAGGAGAAGTTTGTGGGTTTTACTTAGAGCGGCAAGAGCTGCAGGTGTCCCGTGCCTCTGACAGCCTGAATGTTCTTATTGAGGGCCCCAGTTTAACCACGCAGTGGTGAAAATGGCCTCGCCTGCTAGCAGTCAGGACAAATACAATAAAAATGAGATTTTGGGTTGATCATAGATTTCTGCTGTAACTGGTTCTGTATCCATAGATCTCTTGATTCTTTCCTGCTCTCCATAGTGTGTGGTGTGCAAACTCCACTTTCCAGGTGGTCGGGGTAGGACAGGAGGTAGCCTTTTTATGGAGAATCCCTGCTGCATTGAATCATTGTCAGAAATAGCTAAAAAGTGAAACCAGATGCTTTTCACGTCCATTTACCAGGCCTGAGCATGTTGCTTTCGTATCCAGACGAGCGTAATGGGGATTTTATCCACTTGTGGAAGAGGGGGGGGGGTTCCAGGCAAGGCGGCAAAAGCAGCGCTGTGTGGAGAGTAGCACAAAGCTCAGACAGCTGCTTGGGCTGCTGAACAAGAAATGCCACCTCTGCCACCACCTGTAAAAGCAGAAGCCTGATCATATGTTGTCCTTGCGGAGCGCTCCGAGGCATTGGTAACGCTGGACTGCCAAATCTGAAAGAATGCAGAGCGCTGATGCGATATTAAAAGAGTAAGAAAAGTTTGTGCTTAAAAATCTGCCTCTAAGTACACTTAATGTGCTGGATTCTGCAGGTCATGAAGGGCCTGAAAATTGCGCGTTGGTTGTGGGTGCTCGGTAACTTACAGGATTACTCTTTTATTAGGAGAAGCCACTTAAGGCTTTTAACAACATTTCTGAAATGACGCCGAGTAGTGTTTTATTGGCTGCATGTTTGGCATCTCTCTGGTGCTGTGAATAATTGATGTTTTCCATCAGCGGTGATGCTGTGGCTAGCACGGACAAGGCCTGGGGGCGTACAGCCTGAGGTTGCCCATCTCCTGGCTTGCTTTCACAGAACTTTGAGCCCTGAAGCCAAGCTCTTCATACTCTCCTAAATGCAGTGGAGATGGTTACTGCCTCTTTCATGTACCACAGCCCTGCAAACCGACAGTCCGTGTGGCTATTGAAAGCTCTAGCAACGCTCAGAGATTGCATTTTAAAATAAACTAATCCAAATTAGGCATCAGAGCTACGTCCCTCCCTCCCCCTTCTTTTTCTTGGTCTCCCAAAGTCTGGAGAAATAGGGATTGTGTAGAAAATTCATTTTACACATAAGGTATTTTGAACCAGCACAATAAACTTTCGGATTAAAAAATAGCATAGTGGCCGCCAGCAAGTAGTAAGTACAGAAAATTGTTTGAGGTATTGTAATGTGAGAGCACTGGAAGATCTTTGAAGGTCTTAAAATATTTCTGGAAAGTCAAGAGTAAGGGGTAAGGTACTTTTCTGTGAAGATTGAAAACTATTTCCTTACTTGCTTGTTTTGATCAGTTTATTATCAGTTCTGAGCACGGAGACTTTTTGTTTTTTCCTCATGGTGGTGGTGTTTTAGTTTTGTTTAAAGAAAAATTTTCTTTTCCTGTGTTTTAAAATTCACCCAGCCAAAGTTGAGGATGGAGAGAGGTGTGCAGGACTGTGGGCAAAGCTATTGAAAAATATGTTACGTGTTGCATTGAAATGGTTGGTGCGTATCCATCACAGCATACGCTGCCTCCAGCATTTCCTGTGTCTCAGTGCAGTCTTTCTCGTTCACTTCCCATTCAAAAGCACGCTCGTTTATCCTGATTATTTTTTTTTTTCGTTCTAGGGCACTTGCATGTTAAAGGAAGTCAAGAAAAAATGTCCAAGTCATTAAAAAACTACATAACAATTAAGGTAATCTATTTCTGTGAATTGAAACAATGTATGTTCATAATATGTGAATATTAATCACAGCTGTCTTTTGAGAAAACACAGGAGTGTGTGCTTACACTGCAGTAAAAGACCTGAAGCGGAGTGTTTCTTTTGCGCTGGTGTACCTGTTATTGCGGATCTGGATGTAGGAAACCTGCTCGGACTCAGGGTTTGCTTATAACACAGATCTTGCTGAGCTGAGGGCATTCGTAGGAGCAGTGTTTGTGCCCAATACTGGACTTCTGCATTATAGGTTTATGGTTGGGCTCAAGGATCTCAAGGGTCTTTTTCCAAACTAAATGATTCTGTTCTGTAGTGATGGGTTCTCGTCTGTCTGCTCTTAATAGTGTGTAAGCTTTTGGGACTTAAAATGAGTGTGGATGTTTTTCCTTGTTCTGCTTTAGGTGAAATGGGACATGGTGTCAGCATTTTGTCAGGAAGCTACTAGGTATCCTGCGCCCGCACTATGCCAGCGGTCTCTTGTATTCTCCTTTATTTTTATACGGTCACCTTGCTGATGCACGGAGAGCTTTGCCTTTTGGTACCCACAAGCCATGTGAATGTGTCCTGTTTTACTGTGTCCCAAAGTTTTTGGTGGAGCCCAGAGCAGGGTTTCTGTGCGAGGCACGGGCAATAAAACTGTGTTTGGTGCTAGGGTGGCTCCCGTGATGGCTGACAGCTATTGCGAGAAGTGGGCAATTTCCTTCCTTTAGACAAACCTTGAGAGGCTGTTTCAGCACATATGTTCCCCTTTGCCCTCTCAGAAGACTTAATTAAAATCCCTTTAAAAAGGAGTTCAGTATGAGCTGCTTTATTCTTAATTCTCCTGATGCTGTCTGGGTACAGTTAAGCCCTGTCTCCCCCAGGAAAATTACCTGTCACTCACAATTTTCACAAATTTCCCGGGTCTCAGCAGACGTTCCGGACAGGGTGGAGAAATGACCACGAATGCAATGCATGCAGTTAAAAATAATGTATAGAAATGTTCCCCTCCATGTCTACGGTGGGACTTTTGTCTTGAGAAAACAACAACTTCAGGCCCATCTCTTCCCTTGCAGGTCTCCGCTTTTCATTTCTGCCCTTAGACACAGCTAACAAGTATTAATCCTTTCCTGTAAGCGATTTTCAGTCCAGTGAAACAAACTTCTTCCCGTACAGCCTGCCTGCATCTTGAAAGTTAAGCCCTATGTGGAAGTTTTTATGCCCACTCTGAAAGAGGGGAGGCCTGTCCAGGACAGGGCCCGCGGCATTCCCTTGGTCCTGCTGGTGGCCACCTGCAGCCCAGGCTGTCACCTGGGCATGGCCGCCCTGCATCCTCTTCATCCAGCTGCCCTGTTTTCCCTTCCCCTTGTCCCCTTCTCCGATTTTTTTCTTTTTTTTTTTTTTTTTTTTTAAATAGCTATTAATTAAATCAAGCACGTTGCAATAACGCATGGCCAAGCAACCTGCTTTGAAAGAGTAGTGATACTTTCTCTGTGCTCTGTTTTTAATGAAAAGCAAAATTGTTTTTTTCCAGTTTGGATGGTCCTTTCCTAAATTCGAATTTATTTCTGTACTTTACTCATATTGTTGTACCTCTGTATATTAGCATAAAGCTTCTGGGCCCATTGGGTACATTCAGTTATATAGAGTTTAAAACAAACAAAACCACCCACCAAAACAAACAGTTGGTATCACTGTCTATTTCTCGATTTAGTTTGCCCTGATTGCTTCAATTATTTCTATTTTCACATGAGAGATGGCACATAGCTGACACTTTACTACCTTCAGTGTTCAGGCTGAAGGCATCGGGAATGCCATGTATCCCTGAAATACTTCGAAGCATGGGCTAGTAAAGAGGCTGCTGGTTATTAACTGCCAACCTTCACCGTGGTAGCAGAAGCTAAATTTTGTAACGTGCATCTTTAAGCAAATGACACTTTCCGTATTTTCTCACTTGTATTGACTTCTCCTTATGATTTTGTATTTCAGTGGCGCTTTAGTGTTACAAACTTAGCACCACCAATTTGCAAATTAA